CCAATCTCCGTAGCCCAATCTTCAAGGATGTCACTCTCCACATTAATTCCGTAAAGTTTGCTTTTGGCTAAATTTCAATGGAGCCCAGTCATTAAGCTGAAGATCCTCAAAATCCTTCTAACATTCTTAATCGAAAGATCCTCAAATTACTCCTATTTTAATTGCGATTATTATGTTTCCTCTTGACTGAAGATCTAATCTATGATTCTGTATGCTTGCACAGCTTCCTGGTCTTCTTTCTATATCTACCAAGTTCCTGCCCACCGTCATGAACCTTCTCAGAAAGTTAGCGGAGCAGGGCCAATGACCTGCAACTAACTATCCTCAGACAAACCCGAGTGCAGAGTCTAAAAATTTCCAAAACGGGAGCACCAGCAGTAGCATGTCATCGAGTGCTTCATCTGGAGTAACTGCATCAAGAAATTATATTGAATACTCCAGCCCCTCAAAGGAAGAATGAGCAACTCATCACAGAATTTGGTTTTTTGTGCTTTGAAGATGTGCCTGTCGGGTGCTCGCTTTCGCGGTTGGGTGTTTGTCACATACGTTATTTATAGGGCATGAAATCTCTCTCCCTCTCTTCGAAGAATGCGACTTAACACTTCTTGAGAAGGCATTTGTTTTTGTACAAGTGCCGTTCTACAAAGGAGCCTCCCCTTCTCTTCGGCCTAGGTTTTTCTTTTAATATTTAATTAGATTTGTTGTATGTTGGGTAAGTTATAAGGCCTATATATATATATATATGTTTTGCATAGACGGGTTTTCGTTATGTTTGGCTTTACTCACTTTTGTTGTTCATGCGTGCATTTTTAATGGTTCAAATGCGTGTAGAGGGACTGAGGGGGAGTGGGTGGGGCAGTTGCCCCAAAAAATTACAGTTTTTATATATTTTAGTTATTATTTTTTTATATTTTCAATTAAAAATTTGTTATCCTAAAAAAAAATTATAAGTTTACATTCTCGTAAAATTTTATGAGTTTATCTCCTCTAGCATAAAACTTGTAATTGTCTACGTGCACGTGATTGTGCATGTCTGTACATCAACAAAATAGTTATGGGCTTGTTGCTTTGGTATGCATGATCCAACTCTGTAGAAAAGAGTAGCAAAATAGTTTATCTCCTAGATATGTAATCATTTTTTGAATTAATATATATATATATATATATATAATTTAAATATCCTTTTTTTAATTATACTACGAGCATGATAAATTTTAATATTAATAATTACATTTGACAGATTAAATCTCAAATACTATGCATTGGTTTCTTGAAGCCCGTCGGGTTCTTTCTTCCTGCCCTCTTAAATTGCACTCTCTTAATCTGCTTAATGCTCTTCACGACTAGGAAGTTGAAAAAAAGAAGACAGAAAAAACTCATCAGATGACAAATTACAAGAAAGACTATGTGGTAAACAGTCAACAGACTTCAATCTTTTCTTTTCCGTTTCCTTGATTTACAGCTGGATGAATAGGCATTTTCAAGTGCATTGAAAGGGCCGCGCAGGTCAGATTAATTGATTTGAGCGGTCATTTACTTAAATGTAAGGTTATGTTGGATTTTGTGTAACGCCCGAAATTGGGATTAGTAGTTCGGATACCGAGACTCATTTTAGAGCTTAAAAGTTTCATTAAAATGGTTTGAACTAAGTTTAAAGATAATTGGGTTGAGTTGGCCCAAAAAAAATTAGGAAATATGATGATGTTATATCAGATTCACGTGAATCAAACTAAAAATTATCTTACCAAATACTCTCTCCTTCTCCCTTCTATCATTTTCCATTTCTCTTCTTTTCAAGAGCCAATCTTCAAGCAATCTAATCTTAGTTTGAGCCAATGTGAGATTATGAATCACCATTCTTCAAGCTTTAATTTAAGCCCCATTTTACAAGTTTTCCTCTATGATTTCCAAAATGGGTTTTTGGGAGGTTTAATAAATCCATAGATTCTAGTTCGCTTTTGTTTGATTTAGATTATTGGAAGTATTCTAAATCCTTATTTTCATTACATAGTTAATTTAGAAACTTCTTTTTCTTATCTTGATTAGTGAAAGAAATGGATGAAATGGATGAAGCCTCCAAGACAAAAGGGAAGGAAAAAGCTTCCATTGAGTGAGTTGGAGCTTTGCTTTAGCCTAGAAATCAAGTTATCCACACTTACAACTTCTCTATGCTCTTTGTGAGTCATGTTAATGTATTGAATAACATGAAGGTAAGAAATAAGCTTATTGAGCATATCAATGGTAGATTTTATGTTTTGGAGTTTTAAGCATGATATAACCTTATTTATGCCCTTTTTATGACTTTAAGCATGTTTTGGGACCTCACAAGGGTCTTTGGGAGTGAGATATAGCATTTTTGTGCTTGTTTTTAAGTATTATGCAGGTCAAGTATTTGTATTATTGGGCTAGTATCGATACTTGTTCTTCATTTTTGAGAAGAAACATGTTTTCTGGGCAGAAGTATAAATACTCTTTCAAGAGTATCGAAACTTTGAGTCATAGTTTTGAAACTCCCAGGAAGTATTGAAACTAGGTAGAACAGAATGTCTAAAAGTATCGGTACTTATATAAAGTATCGAAACTTTTGCAGGAGTATCGATGCTTTTGGGCTAGTATCGATACTCTAAGTCTGTTTTGGGAAAAAAAGGATCGTTTTAAGGGAATTACCCGAGGTACCCTAATACTTCAATATATTATCAAATAAAACTACAAGTGAATATTTACGTTGTTTAATTCAAACATAGAAACCAAATAATTATGGTGACATAAAACTAGCATTGGTTGATGCTCGAGAAATAATTCGGACACCTGAGTTCCTCTAGTTTAGGGTGTTGAAAGTATAGATGCAGTCCGGATATCCATAGGTAGGGCGCAAGGTTCGACACTCGTAAAGGTTGGCTAGTTAGGGGTGTGGTGTCCAATACAATGATTCTAGAAGCCACATCATTGGTAGACTAGAGTGGTGCGTGAGCTCCGAGATGTAGAAATCCCTCAACTACACCATGATGTCTATCATAGCGTAGAGAGTGAGTATCGCAAAGATACTCACTAGTGTTGTATTGATGATGCATTGTATTGTTTTCAGTTATTAAAACATGTTGTAAATGTACCCCTGTTAGTATATTTTAGTTTTGTGGCACTGGGCTAGTTAGCTCGGCGTTTGAAGTTTGTTTCCTTACGCAGATTAGGTGAAGACCAGTAGAGGAGCCTTTTGACCATACCAAACAACAGAGCAGAGTATGTCTCAAATTTCTAAAGGGCATGTATATTCAAAGTTCTATTTTGTAAATTTGAGTTGTAAATTGTTTTAAATATATGGTCTGTATATTTTGATTTATTTTGTAATCGTAGGAGCTCCCGATTGTAAACTATTTTTACATGAATTTTATTTTTTTATTTTATTGCAAGTATTTACACATGAAACTTTAATTTGAAGCGAGTGTGATAAGAAAATTTGTTGTTTAGCCACTCTGATGGTTCCGTGTAACACTCTTATTGGTCGATTGTATATCGTACTGGTGTAGGGTGTTACATTTTGGTTTTGCATGCTTTGAGGGATGTATAATTCAACTTTTGGTTAGCCAATTCTGTTATGAAGTTTTTTAATATACGAGCAAGATGAAGAAAATTGTTGGAATTCTAATATTAAAAATTTAACTAAAAACGCAAGGGAAATGCCAACTTTCTGCTGTTTTATTTATGATATAATACGTTAAGGGCTAATTTTTATTTTTATTTTTTATAATTAGATTATTTGATTATCAGAATTCACAAATAGCCCGTAATCATAGAAGAAATATTTTATAGGTAATTTTTGTAATCCTATTATCCTAGTAATTAAATAGTATTGACGTCTCTTTATTCGGAATTTGAATCTTGTTTGCTCTTTAAGTTACCAAAAAATAAAAATAAAAATCATACACTCAAATTATTGAATACGATTAAAATGTATAAAAGGTTGCATAGAAAAATATATATGAATATTTGTACAATAGTAGTGTCAATTTTACAGTAGTCGCATTCAATGAAAACCTATAAGCTTAATTATAAATGCTTTTAGGTTGAAAATTCCATATTCATTTAGCTTTGTTAATAAACTAGTTTATAATTTTCAATCTTATCAAACCAGCTTGAATTATTATATAGTAAATAATTTTATTAAAATTAAATTATAAAAAATGATATTATTAATATATTTTAAATAATAATTGGGATCTTCAAATGGGAAGAATCGAGTTAAACTGGGCCTTGAAACAGGGAAAACTCCGTTATCCATTTGTTAAAATAAAATTTTACAAACCTCACACGATATATAATTTTGATTTTCGAATAAGATAAATTGCTATTATTTTAAATAATAATTTGGACTTTTACACCTCTTCACTCACAAGGTCTTTAATTTCCCCTAAATTGCATTAATTAATTGTATCAATGTTTGGAGTGGAAATCAATGAAAGCCGAAGTTATATGTAATTCAGCTTCTTTATTATTTTTAGACTCTTTTCATAATTTATAAATATTTTATCCCGATTTACTAAATTAACAACTTTATTAGTTAAAAGATGCTTGACCAATAGTCATAGATATAGACTCGAATTAATTTCGTACAGAAAAAAAAGAAAAAGAGATTACGGTGTGCATGCATGAAAAATAATTAGAAAATTAATCATAAATGTTAATTTGTTTTTTAAAACAGATTGGTATATGATGAGCTGGCTACATGAAGAAAAATGGTTTAGGAAGATGAATATGAGGGTAGAGTTAAAATCCAACGGCTAATTAAGGGTCTCCTACTCCGAACAGCGGCGTTCATTTCACCATTAATGACTGGCACCACCCCTTGTTTCAGCGTTTTTAAATACAGTTGAGAGCTGCATTCCTTGTTGCAGTGCAGCAATACCCTTTAATATTTTCCTTCTTCTTTTCTTTTAATCTCATTATAATTTGCGCTGTAGTTATTTGCTTAGCTACCATATATATCTGAGTGTTTTAATATTCATCACCCATCACCTCTCCACTATTAAAGCTAATCTGTATATATAGACATAGTGAGAGTTTAACACACAAAACTAGGCCAACCAGTGAGAGCTGCTTAGAGGCATTTGTTTGTTTTTTGCTCCGAGTTTGATAAATCTGCTGTTTTTCATGGCAGTGAAGCTTTTTATCTGTTTGATTCTTTGGCTCAACACTCTATCTCTTCTTCAAGGTTTTCTTTATTTCTCTCCCATCTGCATCTGTTCTTTCTTCTTTTTGTTCGGATAAAATTGGGTTTGATTGATGAACATATAGTGCAGGTTGCGGTGATAATCATGAATTCAGATACCCATTCATCAAAAGGGCAAGTTCGTTTGGGGCATCATCTTCGTCCTCGTTGTCATCATCAAACAGAGATGAAGTATGGTATGATTACATAATCGTCGGAGGTGGGACGGCAGGGTGTCCCTTGGCGGCCACACTGTCCAAGAACTTCAGCGTGTTGCTGTTGGAGAGAGGAGGGGTTCCTTTCTCAAACGCCAATGTCTCCTTCCTCCGCAACTTCCACATTGCGTTGACAGACACTTCGCCATCGTCGGCTTCGCAACCCTTCGTTTCCACCGATGGTGTGATCAATGCAAGGGCTAGGATTTTGGGTGGTGGCACTTGCATCAATGCTGGCTTTTACACCAGAGCTAACCCAGGGTAAGTTGGTCCAATTTTTAATGATTCTATCATCCATCCGTTTTATTAGGCAATTAAATGTTTTCGTATCAAGTTTAGTCAATTGTATTTTTTCTAAAATAATTTATAAATACAATCATTTACACGTATATAAAATAACTCAACACTCGTTCTATAATAAATAAATTGTCGTGAATTTATTTAGTTATCGTAGTTGTTAAAGAAAATATTAATTTTTTTAGAGATCTTAAGTTCGACCAACTATATTGCTAACCGTTAAGAAAAAATATAAACAAATATTATTTGTACTCAACTCCAAACAATTAAAAAGGAAAAGTTAACGTGATCTTGTGGCCTAAATTTAGTTTAATGAGGAGAAGATGATTAGATATATTCTTAAATAAAAAATAATGACATTATTAGGGAATGTACTACACATTTAATCCACCTTACTATTTTGCAGTTCACACACAAGATTTTAGGTTACGAATGAATCTATCAAATTTTAAGGATGAATATAAATTATAAATAAAAAATATAAATAAAATATCAAAATTATATGAACATTTCTGAAAATTACTCCACCAGCCGGAGATTAAGCATTGATGCGTGAACTTCGTTGGGTTAATATTGCAGTTTCATTCGGAGAAAGGGTTGGGACGAAAGGCTAGTGAATGAGTCGTATTCATGGGTGGAGGAGCAAATTGTTCAGAAGCCTAAACTAGCACAATGGCAGGGGGCCTTCAAGGACAGCCTTTTGGATGTCGGGGTCTCACCTTATAATGGATTCACCTACGATCACATCTATGGAACTAAAGTTGGAGGTACCCTTTTCGACCACTTCGGCCGTCGCCATACTGCAGCTGAACTGCTTGCTTCTGCAAACCCCAAAATGCTCACTGTCTTGGTTTATGCCACCGTCCAGAAAGTCTTGTTCGATCAAAAAGGGAGGCGACCAAGGGCAATGGGAGTGGTTTTCAAGGATGAAAATGGGGACCAGCATCGGGCATTTCTCACCAACAATCTGAGGAGTGAAGTGATTCTATCATGTGGTGCAATTGGAACTCCTCAATTGCTAATGCTTAGCGGTGTTGGACCCAGGGATGAACTCCAGAAGTTGAGCATTTCAATGGTTTTGAACAATGAGTTTGTTGGCAAGGGCATGGCTGATAATCCGATGAACTCGGTTTTCGTCCCCACTAATCAAATGGTGGAACAGTCCCTTATTCAAACCGTAGGCATTACCAAGATGGGAGTTTACATTGAATCGAGCAGTGGATTTGGACAGTCCCAGGATAGCATTCATTGCCATCATGGAATAATGTCTGCAGAGGTGATCTGAAACTATTCATTAGGCTTTCTTGCAATGTTGAGTCATAGATTTCATGAATTAGGAATTGGTTTTATCAGAATGCAGTGTTTAATCACGATGGTTTCTGTCTTCTGTTGTACATAACCAGATCGGCCAGCTCTCTACGATTCCTCCGAAGCAAAGAACACCCGAAGCGATCCAAGCTTTCATCAAAAGGAAGAGAGACCTACCACACGAAGCATTCAAGGGAGGTTTCATTTTGGAAAAGATTGCTAGGCCCATTTCCACAGGCCACCTCAACTTGGTCAACACCAAAATCGATGATAATCCATCGGTTACCTTCAACTATTTCAGCCACCCACATGATCTGCAACGATGCGTCGATGGGATCCGCATGGCTGCAAAAGTTATACAATCAAAACATTTCACAGACTTCACAAAGTGTGACAAACCAACTGTAGAGAAGCTTCTTAACATGAGTGTCGAGGCCAACATTAACCTTATACCGAAGAATATTAATGACACCAAATCCCTAGAACAGTTCTGCAAAGACACTGTGATCACAATTTGGCATTACCACGGAGGATGCCATGTCAGCAAAGTGGTGAACTCTGACCTCAAAGTTCTTGGCACCAACAGACTCCGAATTGTCGATGGCTCCACATTTAGTGAATCCCCTGGAACTAATCCTCAGGGCACTGTCTTGATGATGGGCAGGTAAGCTTTGACTACACATATGATTGGTTTTACCAGCAGGAAGCAACAACCATTTTGACAAAAGCTGGTACACAGTCATGATTTTAAGCTAGTCTAACCTTGTTTGATTTGATATTTACAGGTACATGGGAGTCGATATTTTGAGAAGAAGGCTAGGAAAAGCTCGCTCATGTGTAATGACATGAGACCAACTGATAGCATTTGAAGATCTGTGTTTGTTTGTTGTAGTGCATAAGTGCATGTAGAGATTACCTTGCTAATGGAAATTTACCATTTCCATTGCTGTCAATTTATATCACGAACCCGTCTTGACAGTGATCCTAATCCCTGGTACCAAGGTTGATGTTTTTGGCACTATATAATCAAAGATGTAAGGTTCCAAGCGTTGTTTCTTACCGTTCTTTTTACATTTATTAAGCATAACAAAAAAACGATCAGGAAACAACAATAATTAAGAAACGATGCTAGTAGTCGAGGATATTAAAGGACTCCTTTAGTTGCAGAAGCTTTTTGTTGTGCCTAAACCAAGCAAAATGAAATAAAGCGCTCTAATAGCTTGGTACACAAAGTTAGGTAAGCTCGTGCTGCATTTAAGTTCATGTTCATGTGTTAGCTGAAGAGGAATAAATCCAGCTTCCTATTGCTGAATTTGTATGTTAGGTTACACTTAAATGGGTTACGAACAATTAAGGTGAAGTTCACCCACATGTTTTCCCGCTTTAGCATTTATAATCCATCTTTTTTATGACAAACCCTCAAATGTTTTTCCTACCTTCACATTTACTGAGGCTTTTGGGTGCAGAAATTTCTTTTAACTAGTACATATACTAGCAATATGGAACATAACTGCTAACATGAATGATAGATGATAGAGTTGCCTCATAAAGCATAATGTGTGATTTTGAAGGTTGTCAAATTCTCAAATAACATTGTTCTTCTGTACATGACAAGACCTGTAACTCTAGACAACAATTGTGTCAAAAAATCATGTCGGTGTTTCATCAAGAAGGCCACAGAAGATCCAATGCATTAATAAATAAACTCATGCCATGAGCTTCTGAATTTATATCTGATTTGATTCCTCTTATGATAGGTATTCCTGGTATTTTTGAAAACCATAACTCATGTGGTGCTGCACGTAACAGAATAAAGTCTGCATGTTGTCAATTTCCCAGTTCTGGCTCTAATTATTCATGGAAGATATTGCAACTTCAATGGAAAAGGTTTTTAGCAAAATTCTAAATTAGAGCCTCACCAAAATTTGACAGAAAATCCATGTTCGCTTCGACCGTCTCTCGATAAACCTCTCATTCTCTGCAAGAAATGCCTTCTTAAGCGATATATATCAAGTTGACCAATATTTTACAAGCATCGCTAATTAAATTGATATAATATTGTCTCGATTTCAAGACTTCGTCCTGACTAATTCGGATCGACTCGTGTTGTACATCCGACTTTGGTGGATGAGTCTCCCAACATGAATTTTCTACACGCACAATGACTCGAACCCGAGACCTTGCTTAAGCGATATATATCAAGTTGCTTATCACTTGAAAAAATTCCATTGGTTCCAAAATAATTATTTTGATCTAATATGTTAAACTATAACAAGTAAAAAAATTGAATATTAAAATCTGATTAAAATTATATTTTCAAATATTCTTTCAAAATGCAACCCTAACCAAATTTGGATTGTCTAACTACATTATCGCTTTTATTCCTTAAAAACCCTCGATTTCTAATGAAAGGAAAACTTCTTTTATCGAATATTCCTAATTATAGTGATTACTCAAGGAACTTTATGTTCGTTTCCAATCTAATTATCTTATTAATCGCAACACATATTTAATGTAGTTGAATTAATGGATTCACACGTGAGATACAGATCTAATATCCCACTGATATTATCGTAGGATAAAATTTAAAAATGTTATTAAATCATCTTAATTTTTTATTTTTTAGAATTATTATTTAAAATATTAAAAAACAATTAAAACGGTTATGAGTCAAAAGTATAGGGATTTAATTGGAAATTATGAGTAGGATTGATTAGTTAATATGGATATAGAAGGGTAAAATGGTCATTTGACGAGAAAGATTTTTATATTTCTAGAATTATTATTTAAAATATTAAAAAACAATTAAAACGGTTATGAGTCAAAAGTATAGGGATTTAATTGGAAATTATGTGAGTAGGATTGATTAGTTAATATGGAAATATAGAAGGGTAAAATGGTCATTTGACGAGAAAGATTTTTATATTTCTTTTATTGGCTATAAAAACGTGGGATTAAGAGGAAAAATGAGAGATTT